TTTATTTAAAAATATTTTTATTTCGAGATTTTATTTATTTATTATTAAAATTTTATTATCTGAAAACATTTAATTCTCTCTCTCCTTTCTTTTCTCTCTTTCTCTCTCTGTGTCTTCCTTTTGTAATAGCTTATCTTACAACTAAAAATTATTGGTCTTTCAATGCTTTTATTAAGGAGTAATCGATTTCAAATTGGTCAAAGAAGTCTTAAGTGGAAGACGGGTCGGAGTAGGAAATATAGCTTGGTATATCTTGTAATAGTAGCACACTGTGATCATCTTAAAATGGAGGAAAATTGCATTGAAGCAAAAAGGTTGAAGCTATCTAGTATCTCAGAAAATAATCATCGGCATGAGGATTTTATAAACGTGAACTATGAGTGCAATATAAAAAATTTTGGACTGTATTTTTTATCGATATTAAATCATCTCGAAATGTTTTTAACGTATTGGTTAGTACTGTCTATTGATTTTATATTATAAATTTAATTACGTTATATAATAAATAATTCCCGTTACATAAATAGGGAAGTATTCATTTTCTGATTTATTGTTAACTAACAATAGGCGCGCGGGTGCATGTATGAAAAGGAAACTCTTATTATTTTATCTTTGATATATATTTTTTCATTTATATATATGATTTATATTTTGTTCGACCAGGTACCTATATATTGTGCGCGCGATATATATTTTTTCACTTTCAATGAGTTTAATAAGTTTTCTTTGTGTGCAATATTCCCCGTAAGAAATTATTATAAACCTGTAGACGTTGTGAAGAGAGATACGTTATATAAGAGAAATAATAGATTCAAATTATTTTTCTACAATAAGAGCTTATTATATTATTACTTTCCATGTTAAGTCTTATATAAGACTGCAACATATAATTGCAAGTACATAAACGCAACGCATGCATAATCTTAAGTACAGCATAATTTTATCAAAGATAAATTTAACAGCATTTATAAATCAAAAAAACAATTGGTTGAAATAAGACGGAAAAAACTGATTTAAAAGCGGATTATTTTTATATATACAAAGGATTCTAAAATTTTTTTTTTTTTGTTTAAATACAATTTGTCAGTTTTAGTTACGTCGGAAAATAAGTAACTTGAATTACACGAGACACATATATCAAGATACGTATGATAAATAATGGAGAATCGACTCGATCGTTTCCGTTATAACGTGAAATTCATTCTTAAATAATGACGATCGTGTATTAAAAATATACAATATTACGTATCAATCTCTCCGCGAGATGATTCGTAGATCTTTCTTTCGTAATAATACTACCGATAGTAATAAAAGTCAGACCACCAATATATCATACGTAACGGCATCTACGGAAGAGTTCATAAATCACAGGAGTGGGGACAAATAAAAAGGAGTGCTTGCCTTGGAAAGCGGCCTCGAAGGTGGTCTTCTCCTCCACGGGGTTCTGGGCGAGCACCAGAACGACCGACAGGTATTCCAGGATGACGAAGAGCCGGTAAACGTAGCGTAGTCCAGCCATCGTCCGGCGATGAACATGCACGTATCGCTGGGCTCGATAATAAGTCCTTACTGTCGCATGCTCCAGCGGAATCCTGTCGATCACCACGCGGCACACGCGAGACACTCTATCTCAATCAGTCGTGTATCACTAATTACTCTCGATTACTACTAGCACCAGACTAGATTCGAGATGCACCGGCCCGAGACACTCTTCACAACGCGACAACCGATCACGCAAACCCTGATGACACTCTGTAAAGCAAATCGACGAAAAAAAATCAATAAATGAAAAATCTGTAAGAATATAAAATTAAAATTCCAAGGAAAATAATATCGTAAGAGAGCAATTTTTATAAATTTTTAAAAGTGATCTCATGTTTCACAATAATTACATTACGAACATTATTCGAAAAACTTTTATAGAAGCAACGCTTTCTTCTTTTTTTTGTACAAGAATTTTTAAATAGCTTTTAAAACGAGCAAACTTCCCGATAATAAAATTCTGGTACTAATGAAAGAAGAAAATACAGATATTTAAGAAATTGTGAAAGAGTTTTTAATAATTCCACGTAGCGCTTTATGAAACGTGAATTCAGCCAGCTATCATGATCGGCTATTGTGACGATCATTATCTCTGACTCGCACTTCTGCTAAAATCAATTGATACGAGGTCGAGTCGATTCAGTTGCAAATGGCTCGTAACAAAGTATCCGCGGCGTTTACTATACTCGTTATATCATGGCAAATGATAGGTCTCTATTTTCGCGCAATACCCGATGCAAATTTACTTGACACCGTATGCATATCAATGCGTGCATGCATATTTCCCGCGAGCTCGCACAAAGGGGTTGTTTTCGCCTCGTTCTCCTTCTCTCTCTCTCTCTCTCTCTCTCTCTCTCTCTCCCTCTCTCTCTCTCTCTCTCTCTCTCTCTCTCTCTCTCTCTCTCTCTCTCTCTCTCTCTCTCTCTCTCTCTCTCTCTCTCTCTCTCTCTCTCTCTCTCTCTCTCTCTCTCTCTCTCTCTCTCTCTCTCTCTCTCTCTCTCTCTCTCTCTCTCTCTCTCTCTCTCTCTCTCTCTCTCTCTCTCTCTCTCTCTCTCTCTCTCTCTCTCTCTCTCTCTCTCTCTCTCTCTCTCTCTCTCTCTCTCTCTCTCTCTCTCTCTCTCTCTCTCTCTCTCTCTCTCTCTCTCTCTCTCTCTCTCTCTCTCTCTCTCTCTCTCTCTCTCTCTCTCTCTCTCTCTCTCTCTCTCTCTCTCTCTCTCTCTCTCTCTCTCTCTCTCTCTCTCTCTCTCTCTCTCTCTCTCTCTCTCTCTCTCTCTCTCTCTCTCTCTCTCTCTCTCTCTCTCTCTCTCTCTCTCTCTCTCTCTCTCTCTCTCTCTCTCTCTCTCTCTCTCTCTCTCTCTCTCTCTCTCTCTCTCTCTCTCTCTCTCTCTCTCTCTCTCCCTCCTCTCCTGCCTCTCTTTCTTCTTTCTGTCTTTTTTTTTCTTACAAGATTCACGAAGCGAAGGGATAAGATAAATCGCGCATTTTCTTTCACGAGAATCCCTGAGACGCCTCGCGAACGCTCGACAGGATGTTTGCGTCGCGGAAAATGCAAGCTGCATTACTGCAACAGACGGATTAACGCTCGGACTCGTCGCCATGCAGACTCGCGTTATGTTAACGCGTCTGGAATTAGATTTATTTTTTTGCTTATTGCCGGGTTTCCGTTACTGCAGATCGTTACATTGCTAGATACGAATATACAGAGCGTCGCTGCAGTAGAAACAAAAAATAAATCCCATACTGTGATTAAAATTAATTTTTCGAGGATATTATCGGAACACGTAACTTTGTTATTACGTAGACATATATAGAGGCTAAGTTAATATCGCGTATACAACTTTTATCTCATTGAGACTGTATCAATTTATTTAGTTTAAGGTCGATAAAAAAGATTCTTCGTGCTATACACATTAATTTTATCGCTGTTTGCGCGCCGTTTTAATTTCTCACGCTTTTCTTACTTTACGATGTTTTATCTAAATTAGAAAAAACTTTTATAATAGAGGAAAATAATAAAAAAAAAGTAAGAAAGAGAAGAACAAAAGATTATTACAAACTCTGCAAGAAAAGCATATTATTTTCGCAACGTTTTTGCAAAGTTTAAAAAGAAAAAGCGAATAAAAATCGTTGCGAGCTCTCCACTGTGGCTCATAAAATTCGAGAAAAAGTTAAGTAATCGGTTTGTCGATCATATCAGGCAAGCTATATCGCTCTTGTATATGGTCTTAAGATTTCGAT